GTTGTGGTAGACTCCGTCGTCGCTCCAGTTCATGAGAATTGCTACAGATCATATCATCGAGAGAATTAGCGCCTACCAAAGACGGATCTGCATTTGTAGCCGTAACAGGGACATGGCTATATTGTGGCTGTTGAGCGGGCTGGTTCAATGAATTCGCAACTAGGCGTCTCTGGTTGCGCTGCAGAGAATGGCGGCGCTGCAGCTCCTCTTGGGAGAGCCGATTGCCGAAGAAGTTGTCCATTTCGACTGCATCTGTTACAACTCTAGTAGAACCTAGGTTGAATATTCGATGGCTACCGTATCACCCGACGCAAGTTCCTCCACAATAAATAGTATAAACTAGGCACGAAATCCGGAATCGATTCGAATAATAAATCGCGGGAGTATCAAAAACATCGGATGATATCGTCGGCGATCAAATTATCATATGCGAAGAGTGCTGGCGTTTGGGGTTGCATTAAGACGTGACTTGTAGGATGTGTCATACGTAGACGGCTGGAAGACGTTGGACGATGTGCTACGAGGGATAACACCGAGACTTGTGCGTCTGGCGTCGATTATGAGGGATAACGAACTTCGCTCGGATAACGCAGGAAGTAGACGAGGTATTCTATAAATGCCGGGATTCTATATAGTCGACTACTATGGCTCCATCGGATGGGCCAAATGTGTATTTGAGGGCGATTCCCAAGATGTTGCCGTGTAGGAAATGGATACTAGATGATGGAAAGCGAGCGGGTATGTTCGAAGGGAACTGCGCGCGCAGTATACAGTAGCTTCGCGGAGACACGAGAACATCGGTCGCTCCCCCGAGAGGGATGGTTCTGAGCAGTTGGTCGGCTTTTCGAGGTCAAAAAAGGCTTATCGCAGCGGAAACATGAATGAATGGGAGAGATTTCGAAAGATGGCATCTAGACGGCATCTAGATGGCCTAGTTTGGCTAGCTCTCTCGTTGAAGGTGGGAGGGTCGAAGATTGAATTCGACCGACAAGGGTCAAGTTAAGAAGTACTATATGTAGGGGCCAAGTAATAAAGTTGCCGATCAAATGGATTTGATCGAGCTAGTGCAGGCGTTTCCTTTCCGTTGGGTCTCATACCGTACTTGGCACCGTCTGATACGGTTGTACCAGAGCGGGGAAAACGGAACGGTCAATAAACCACGCAAAAACGTACCTACCTAGGTACCTTTTAGGTAGGTAGGTATGTACCTAGGTCTTCATTACTCTGTGTAGGTACAGTAAAATGCGACCGTTATATTATGCGGGGTAGTTCCTGGTTGCTTTCTGGGGCAGGTACAAATGTTACCCAGCCTAATAAATTCGTAGGTATCTCCAGATGGTATTTTTGCGAAATTATACAATCTCCATCCAAACGTGAAACCCCGCCTTACCCACAACCCCGGCAACTCATTTACGTACCTACCTTAGGTAGGTATTTTTGAGCAACGGCTGCGGTAGTTCCTGGTGACCAGTGCATAAATTTTAGGTAACGAACATCACATAAAACTTAAGCAAAGAAAGCTTTAAGACACAATTATTACCTGGGCTCTTATCAAAGCACATTGAATAGATGTCTTGTAAAGAGTTGAGACACGTGACTTGAAACCTTACTCCTCTTTAAAAGTACCTAACATATGTATATTTCGTACCTAACCTAACGCATCAGCTAGTGGAGACCGCTAGCACCATTAAGGCTGACTTTGTCACCTTTTAGAACCTTCGAGGTACCCAAGTACTTTCTAATGTGAATACAACGCCTCATCGCCTCATCGCCTCATCGCCTCCCCGGTAAGGTTCGTCATTCATTCTACCATGAAATTGCGACCTCTAATCCGATAATAACCATCATAACCAAATTTAAACACCGCTGGGTTTCGTCTTCTCGAAAGCCATCCGGTTGCCGTATCTTTGGCCTCTCAGAATTTTCTGAATAAACCTCATCTCCTACAGAATGGACGAACGTACAGAGCTCGTCAATCCATTACCTCTGCAGTCGGTCAACGTCCTTATCTCGTAAGTTCCCAGTCTTTAACATCTAAAGTCCCCGCGTTCCCTATTACCTTGTTGCACTTACCATAAATTTCATTTATCATTCCAAGATAAATCAGAGATAGATATAACCGGTTATCGTTACTTGAGGTTTCGTGCTCGTACGGCTGCACGTCAATACCTTTCCTCTTCGCGCCTGACCAACTTCCCTCCTCACTTATTAGTCACTTAACTTCGATAACACACTACTAATATCTATCAGGCTCCCATTTCTGAATTCACAATTAATTAATAAATCACCGGAGTTTACACCCTGCCTCTTTATGCGATAACCTTTCCCCCTTCTGACAATGGCTCTTGACATCACATATGACCAAGACCTTCGTGTGTCGAGAACGCCTCCTATCATGAAAACAACTCCTCGACAACCAGAGCCTAATGGCTCGCGAGTCGTCAAGAAACGGTCATCCCCTCAGCTTGGGGATGGCCTTTGTGATGTCTTCTCAGTTACAATTGATTCTCTTGCTTGGACGGAAGATACCTCCATCTCTTCCGTCGATCATGAGACCAGTAGCTCTGTTTTCACGCCATCAGAAAAGACTTCTACTATTATGTCATCTACGCCTGGTTCGAGCACTGGATCCATCGACTTCGATCTCCGATTGGATTCTTATGATCATATTGAAACACCCAAGCATCCAGCCTCTAGCATTGCGCATTGCGAGTCGTCTCGAGCCACTTCATACACGCCTAGCGGAGTTGAGCAAGCATTGTACACGCCATCTTCAGTATCTCTAGACGTGAGCACCAGCGCGCTTACCAGTCCATCTCCAAAACTACTACAGCTTTCACAAATACTTGACCCTCAGGGATATCTACCTTATGCCACACCTCCTAGGATGCCCAAAGAGCAAACTACTAAGAACCCTCTCATAACCGCGACGACTGTACGAAAGATCGACTCGTGGTTTCATGATGGGAAATTGCCGCTTTTAGAAGCTAAAGACTTAGTTGGGTCATCTCAGTATTTGGATTTATTGGACGCTCTTAATGCACAACAGAAGCCCCACGAAAGAGATCAAGTCAATGTCAACCTGCTGCCTCACATACCACAATACTCAAAACTACCTCTGCCGAATCCTTTATATCGCAATGTTCAGTCAATATCCCCATCGCCGATCGAAATTATGCGTGAACAATTCTATGCGAAGTTGAGGAGTCATACTGATATGAACCATGCTTATTCATCTTTAGAAGCCGAGGCTGACGTGCACATTTTTGTGGATATGTCTAATATCTTCATTGGATTCTGTGAGAGCTATAAGATCTCTAGGCAAATCCCGCTTACTCGTAGGATAAGCATACCTCCATTTTCGTTCAAAACATTGGCACTTGTGATGGAACGAGCAAGGAATGTGCAGAAGAGAGTGCTCGCCGGGTCGATATACGGCGTAGCAAACAATAATCCCCAAACGTCTTGGCCGCCTTACTTTCTAGAGGCAGAACAATTAAACTATAAGATGAATGTTTTTAGTCGTGTTCGAAAGCGCAAGGTCTCACCAAACAAGCCAAAGGGAAGGGGCCGAACACCGACCGAACGCTCTGATGAAGCAGGCGAGATTTCAGAAGATGTTACGTACGAAGTGAGAAACGGAGAGCAGGGTGTAGACGAGAACCTCCATTTGAATATGATGGACAGTATGTGGGACAACATGTCACGCCCTGGCACGATGGTATTGGCCACCGGAGATGCAGCGGAAGCTGAGTTTTCTGGTGGATTCCTGCAATACGCCATTCGCGCTCTCGAAAAGGGATGGAAGCTCGAGCTAGTGACATGGAAGCGACCTCTCTCATCCGCTTGGACCGATCCAAAATTCCTAAAGAAGTATAGGAACCAGTTCAGTATCATCTTCCTAGACGATTTTCTGGAAGAGTTACAGACCGGTCTTCTCGCGTAAGATATCGTCACATTTACGTCTGGCTAGGAAACTACTCCTAGTATGTCGTTGGAGAGATTTTCGGCTCTCTGTTGCGTTCGGCTATTATATTTCGTTGCCTACCTGTATGGCGGGCACATCTCAAAGTCCTTTTTTTCTTTTTCTTTTCACTTCTGGTGCATATATGCATTTAACAAGCAGCATTCGGCGTACTACGGTCATTCGATTCACTACTTGTTTTTCAGACTACTTGATCTCACGATTTTGTGGAATATGTCCTGCCGGGCGAGCTGAAACCATCTCGGAGCGATGATGGAGGTTTGAATTATCTGGAGAATCGTCAAATTCGACGTTCCCACTTATCTGAAGGTCAATATTTGCTTTACGGCCGGAATTATAAAGACTAGACGAGACAACGGCGAAACGACACATAACGACGTGGAAGGTTCCGGATACACAACAAACCTCGGAAGGATAGAGAGAGCTATGTTTTCGCATTCTGAGATCTGGCGTTTTTCACGAATGGGAACAGCTTTTCTAAGTTAGTCCTTGGTGATTGGATCCGGTTTGGTCCTCCGATATACCCTTCACAGCGTGGGGGTTGATTTACGTCACAAACTGTTGACGGGTAAATTAGGTGATAATATAATTCTTTACCGGGACGATCCTACGCATATGTGGAGTTCTGGTTTGCATAGCATTATTTGCATGGATATCTCGAGAGTTGGGAACCCGGCTTAGAGGTGCAGACCGGAAGACAAAGTTGGTGCCTATTTAGGTATTCCTGAGCAGCATATTGGAGCTTAGTTACTTGAGAAGTAATTGGCTTTGTTTTGATAATATGTTTAGTGTAACCCTACGAAGTATTAATGGAAGTGTTACCTTTACAAGGAACACTCTCAAGTTAATACTTATACATCTTGAACGAGGGAAAATACAAGCAGTTTTTGACCGAGGAAAACTGACGTCATGGTGACTATGTTAAATACATGTGTAAATTAAGCTGATACCTAGGTACATAGGTAGGTTCTCTGTAGGTACCTAGGTATGTAGGTACATGTAAGCTTAGGTATGTGCCTAATGCAATATATAACTAATAAAACCGTTCAATCTCACTCAGTCTTACTATAGTTGAAAAGTTAAAGCTGCACTTCTTCATGCCACAACTCGTTTTCTTGCTATTTGACTAATTCTACCTAAGCTTCTTGCTCGATACCTACTTTTTATTGTTTGCATCGCTTATCTCCTAACCTAGACAGTTACCTACCTATCACTACCTACTACCCCTTTGCCGATCGTGATTAACACCGCTTTCCCGAACCCGTGAAATTTAGGGGTGCTCGGGCCCGGCCCGACGGGTACACCCGAACAAACAAGCATGGCGGTAGCCCTTAGTCAACCGCCAAGACACATCATCATTAGCACCGTCGCGTTCATTCTCGTAGCGTGTTTCGTGCTGCTCACGCCGACGCCGCCGCCGCGGTCGACACCATACCATACCCCGGCGTCATCAAGGATCGACCGGTCGTCGCCCGCCGAAGTCAATCGTGTGGCCAACGGGACCCTGGGGTTCGAGAAGATCTTCGTCGTGGGCCTCCCGGAGCGCAGCGATAAGCGCGATGCTATTGCGCTTACGAGCACGCTGACGGGGTTCGCGGTCGATTGGGTCGATGGCGTTAGAGGGGAGTCGGTGCCGGATAAGGCGGTCCCGTTTGGTGCCGATAGGAACAAGTTGTGGGAGACGAACTTGGGGAGTTGGAGGGGACATATGAATGCTATTCGCAGGTACGTCGAGTGAGGGTTTGAGTAAAGGGGGGCGAGTCTCGAATACCCGCGTGTGTCCTTGTACAAAACAAGGGGGGGGGGTACTTATACTAGTACCTAGCCTTCATGTGTTGAGGAGGCTTGGCTAGAGTTGGATGCGACTTGCGAACTATGAGAGATATCTACTGGGAAATCCAGGAAAATAAAACACTATCAGAGAGGATAATTTCGATATGGACTAATAAAGGGGTTGGTATAGTAGCGTCTAGACTAACCTATCGATTATATAGGATCGTGGAAGAAGACCTTGGATCGGCTCTCATCATGGAGGATGACATGGATTGGGACGTACGGCTTAAGCCCCAGCTAGAAAGAATCGCTCAAGGCGCCAGGGCTCTTCTCTCCTCCGCCTCGAATCCCAGCTCTCCCTACGGCGACGATTGGGATCTCATGTGGCTCGGCCACTGCGGCGAAGTCTTCCCCGAGACGCTCGATGAAAACAAGGAGAAACCCGCCGACGACGCTGGCATCCGATACATGTCGCGCAAATTCGTCATCGAGAACGACTCCACGGTGCCTCCCCGAGACAGAGTCACCGGCCTCGTCGACTTCAAAAGCCACCCCGCGTTTACCCGCTGGGTCCACATCACCGGCGCCCCCATCTGCACGTTCGCATACGCGCTTTCGCAGACGGGAGCCCGGAAGGTCCTCCTAGACCTATCCGTCGACCACCTAACCGGGCCTTTCGACAACGCCCTCGCCGGCCTCTGCCGCCGCGCCGTCTCAACGTGGGGCATCCAAGACCCCGCGGAAGCCGGCGACCGCGGGCTCGACGCGAAATGCATCAGCGTAACGCCGCCCGTGTTCTTCCACCACAAGGCCCGCGGTCTTGTGAACGCCGACAGCGACATCCAGACCGTCCAGGACGGGCAGATTCGCGAGAAGGGCAGCACCGAGAATATCGTCTGGAGCGCGAGGAATAATATTAAAAACATGGTTATGGGGACTCAGATGGAGAGTCAGTATGAATAGAAAGGAGTTCGACTGCATATATATATATATATATATATATATATTGGGACGGAATGATACCTACCTCAATTCGAATTATGAGGGCTATAAACGACGGCGTTGGTGGGATTCGGCAAATTGAGAACGTGGCTCCTAGTACAGATAACTCCGAGTACCTGTGGTAACTAATATAAATTATACGGGTTGGAGCCAAGTCTGCTTCTTCTAACTATACCGTATGGGCTAAACAACGTTATCAATTCTATTGTCGAGGATTGATGATATCACGAACACTTATTTAAACCGATTCCTGTTTTGGAGGCATTAACGCCCCAGTTAACTATGCTCTAGAAATTCAACTGACTTTTATGTTTCCCCTTTTCTCTACCAGGTTATCTAACGCCTAGAAAATCATGGAAATTTAGCCACACATACAGGTATCCCGGTGCACAACCCGGGAGTGACAGATTAGGAGGCACCACCACGACCTCCTATGCCTCCCACAGCCAGTGCTTGCACAATATCCGCGCTAATATCGGGTAGCGGCCGACCCCTTTCGGTTGGCTGGCCGATGAACTTGATTTCGGCTAGATATCGCAGATACCTTCCCACGTCGTCCCTGCTAATGCCATAGCCAGAGCTCTCGTCTATACCTGTCCACTTATCGCCATCTGCCTTCAAAATAGCAACAGTGTTCCTGTCATCCAACTCCGGCGCTCTGGTATTGGCCGGAAGGTCATTCATACAGAAATGTGCCAGCGGCATGAGCGCATGCTGCTCTTGGTCCTTCTCGAGGGTACCCGCGGACACGAAGTTCTCTAGTTCCTGCTTCCAGGAATTATAGCTGATTTCTGGAGTTTTGTAGCCGTAGTACTCTAGTATTGATAGATATTCATTCATGCGGAGACGCGGGTGGCCGGTGACGTGAACCACGTGCACTCCGCCTGGAAGAGGATTCAGGGCAGCAGCGACGACCACCCTCGCAACGTGGTTCACGGGGACAGCGTTGACAGTGTTGATGATACGCGGGCGCGCTACTAGCTGTATGCAACCTTTCAGCATTCTGATTAGGAAGTCATCGACGTTGCAGACGCCAGTCTGGTAATCACCAAGAATATATCCAGGCCGGATAACTGAGCCCTGGAGACCTCGTCTTCCGGCCTCTCTGACGAGTTGTTCTGATACCCACTTGGTTTGTCCGTATCCTGTTCCCAACCCGGTACGGCTTCCATTCATGTCATCACTTTCCATTATAGAACCCTCTCCTGTTCTTGTCTGCTCCTCTGACAGTTTGATGTAATAGTCTGTGTCTAGGACACTTGTTGAGCTGACGAAGCAGAAAACCTTTGCCTTCCCTTCATTGCACAGTTTCATCGCATCAATGGTTGATAATACGTTTGACGCCATCATATCCTGGTACTTCCGAATCCAATGGACGGTAGCTCCGTTATGTATCACCACATCAACTTCACGCGATAATTTTTGCCAGGTTAAATTATCAATACCGAGCTGAGGTTTTGATAAGTCGCCCACGACCGCACTTAATCTCTCCTGCCACTCATCTCTCCATAGGGCATATCCTTGAAGAGAGCGGCGAAGCCGTTGTAGGGCTGCCGTTGAATCCTTGGCGCCTCGCACATGTGCGATTAATTTAACCTCACGAGAAGTCCGGTCAAGGATGTCCTTCACAAGGTATGATCCTAAGAATCCAGTTGCTCCCGTAAGAAATATTGTTAAACTTTTAGAGTCGCCGAGACCGCTGAGATCGGCGGTTTGATATTTATCAGCCAGTTGGCCCGTCAGTTCGTCAAGAGACTTCGTGTAAACCGGGGTGGCCTCTTGTGCATCGCTGGTGGTATCGGTACCGTTGGCATCTCGAAGTCTCTTTTCTACGTGAGCGCTGAAACTAGCTAGATCCGGATGCTCGTAGAATGTGCTGATAGAAACGTCTGCTCCAAAACTCTTCCGAATTTCCAAAAGAAGCTGCTGGGCTAACAGGCTGTGTCCACCCAGATCAAAGAAGACGTTTTCTCGTCTAATAGTTTTCGGGTTGAGACCCCGGATGAGATCAGCCCACTTCTGGGCCACCTTCTGCTCCGTCTCCGTCAAGGACTCCCAGCTCTTTAGATCCTCCTCCGAAGCATCTTCAACGCGTTCGGTAACATCTGGGAAAGGAAGATTCGGTTTATCAACCTTACCATTGGGGTTTAAGGGAAGCTTCTCGAGAACTATATATATGCTCGGCACCGAATAGGCCGGTAATCGAGACTTCAAGTGGTCTCGTACCTCGGTTTCCATGCTTCGATATTTCTTCAAGAAGACACGTGTAGGTCCCATCTCAACACCGTCATCTTCGACTTCTTCTATCCCCCGAGCGGCAACCCATCGCCGCCATTCAGCTGCTTCGGGGACTAAGTAGCTTACCAGTGTTGGTTCTTCATTACGATCTCTTCGTACAAGAGTCTTACAGTCTCGGATAAGTGGGTTTTGGCTTAGATTGCTGTCGATATCGTTGAGCTCGATACGGAAGCCGCGAATTTTGACTTGGTCGTCGGCACGACCAGTGCATTCAACATCTCCAGATTCAAGGTAACGTCCTAGATCGCCCGTGCGGTAAAGTCGATCCCTCGGGCCCTTATAGTACTGTCTCCAAGGTTCATTTTTGCTCGCTTTCGCGTCTGCCTCGACCCATTTCCCATTATCTACGAACCAGTTTATTAAGAACTTCTGCTCATTCAAAGATGGGTCCCCAAGATAACCCCTGATAGCAGCATAATTAGTAAAAACATGAGAATGTCGAGGAAATATACTCACTCAGCAAGACCTGCGGCCCGAACGAATATCTCTCCTACTTCGCCAACCTGGCATAATTGGGATCGGTTCTCTCTATCGACAACTAAAAGTTGGACGTTTTGCATTCCTTGACCAGCCGGGACTGTGTCCTTGAGTTTATCTAGAAAATCCGGATCCCTCGCTCGGCTCGGGACTTCAAAATAACTGACGGCTCTCTGGGTCTCCGTAGTGCCGTACATATTAATAATGTTAGCATTCACGGCAAGTTGCCTGAGGGACCGGCATTGCCTCGTTGTTAGAACGTCGCCGACGAAAAATACGTGTTCTAAGCTAGAAAATTCAGCGGTAGCGCCACCAACTAGAATTTGACCCATGGCTGGGGTAAGATGGGTAACGGTAGGCTTCGTTTCACGCATCCACTCAGCAAGTTTCTCATGTTGGATATCCTCTCTAGACGGGACGAGGAGTTGGGCGCCAAGGAATAGTGGTGTAAAAATATCCCTCTGTACGGGGTCGTGAGCTAGACCAGAGAGAAGCGTAAATCGACTCTCGGTTGATAAATTGAAGCGTTCGGCCATCCAGCCAAAATACCTAGTAAGACTATAGTGTCTACCAAGAACCCCTTTTGGTCTTCCTTCACTCCCCGAGGTGAATGACAAGGTAGGATTTGAATCAGGACCTACTATCACATCAGGGGGGGAAGATGCAAGACTTCTAAGGGGCTCGAAGATGTCTTGAGAATCAACCTGGCCTCCAGACAGAGTTCCATCATCAAGAAGACGGAGTTCAGGGACTTGGGCCTTTAGTTGAAGCTCTTGGTCAATATAACCTTGCACCAGATCGGCCAATGGGCCATTCTCATCAGTTGCTCGGCCAATTTTGATCAGAGCACGTGGCTGAGATACCTCAAGGTAGATCTTCTGCCTAGCTGGAGGATAGGCGGGATCCAGGACCGTCATCGTAGCACCAGAAGCCTAATTGGATAATTAGTATTGGCTGAAATTACATGGTAGTCTTCGTATATAGAAGTAAAGCGAATTTAACTAATTATAAAGTGAGTCTAAGTTTAGAAATCAACAACATACCAGGGTACCCATCAAGGCGATGACCAAGTCAACTGAACGGTGGGCCCAGATCATTACTACATCTCCATTGGCAATACCGGCATTGTGAAGGTACCGGGCAAGTGTATTAGAAGCTTCGTAGATCTGACGGTAAGTGAAGCGTCTCTCGGGATGCGTCGAAGACTTTGTTTCCAGCACACAAGTCCTTTCGGGATATTTCTCAGCAGAGGCCCGGAAGCGCTCATGGATTGAACCGACATAACCTGACCAGTCAAGGTCGATTGTCGGGTCAGGTAAGTGGCCCATGACGATAGTATTTCTATATCCAATTCCACACGAAAGTCAAAGTATGAAGGTAGAGATTATTTCATCGTCTCTACGAACATTGAAGTAATCATTGAAATATGGAAATATTAAAAAATCACGTTGGTGGTGGGGTACATGTATTCAAAGTACCAGCTGCTAATGTGCGATGCGTCATAGTACCTTTTACCGTGTAACTCTTCCGAGAGCGGAGCAAGAGGTACCAAAGTACATAACATATTTATGTACAAATTTTGAAGTGCATGTGCATGTGCACGTACCTTATGCATGTACCTAAGTACATAGGTACCTATGTATCCTCCCCCTTTTCCTTAGATTAACTATCACGAGAAATCATACAGATCAATATATAAGAAGATGCCATGGAATTATATTTTCATCTATATACTTTGATGTACTTGAGTGACATGGGTCGGTACCTAGACTTAGAGATACGAATCAAATATCCATATCATTATCAACTGCTCCCTTAAATACAAAAACTGCAGCTTTAACATGGTCATCCAGGTTGATTTCGTTTGTGTACATACCGCCCTCTCTCATTTGGTTTTTCATGCTCTGTATATCTCTCTCTTCTTCGTCTAGACTGTAAAGTCTTCCGAATTGTCTCGTGATATCAACTACCTTCTGGCTTCTTGGCCTACGAATATGGTCGAAGGCTTTCAAAGCCGTGTTGATATTATCTTTCGACTTAACCTCGGCGAAGACTCCCGTGAGCACTGCCGCATCCTCGATGGCTTGGGCGGCACCGTTGCCGGCATGGGGAGCCGTGGCATGTGCCGCATCGCCGACAATAGCAACGTGGCCACGGTGATAGGTGGATGCGTGATCATGATCCAATATTTCCCAATGCTCATTTGGATATTGTTCGAGAAGCTAGAGTACAGTCATGGTTATTCTACGACTCTTGTGGCTAGAGTAATATGATTATACTTTAACTTACTGATACTAGCGAGGTGACTTCAGGACAGAAATCCTTCCATTCGTCTGCATTAAAACCAGCTCTCTCGCGGTTACGTCGCTTGCTATCCCTCTGGTAGCAAGAGATGCTGTATGTCTCTCCT